CTCTCCGTCCCTGTCTCTCAGAGATTTAGTGTTTAAAAGGTTGTATATGTCCCTCTCTTCTCCTCTCGTCTGTGTCTCTTTGTCCTCTTCTTGTTTAGTTGTGTCTCCTTTGTTTTTCTTCTTCTTTCCTTATCGTCACTTCTTTATATTTTCTACTTGAATGTTCTGAAGATCCCCTCACTGTTCTCAAAAGTCCTAAAGCGATGCACTGATTTTAAGCATCACATTCATGCTGCCAATATCATATACAAGTCTTATCTTTCACTCTGATTCATTATAGTGCCATGGGTGTAGCATCAGTCATCCTCTGTGTGTGCAAACAGTAAGGGGCTTTTACAAAATGCATTATGTTCTTGACATTCATCCGTCGTGCAGTTTTCTGATATTGATGAATTATGATATCAAATATGGATGTCAGTGCATCTCTTCGTATCCGGATTGTTGTTCGTGTCTTTGTGTTGATGCAGTTCACAAAACAGCAGCTGGTTCATTTCATCTGTTCCTCTTTGTATACAGAGATTCTTCTTTTTGCCGTTTCCTGTCACTTTGTTTCTCTGGAAATGTATTTTATTTCTTATTTTTTAGTAATAAATGTTCTGATACCTTTCAATTTTGAGGTAATAGTGCTTTTACTTGAGTATTTTGATTTTATGATACTTGAAACGCATACTTTTTATATCTCAGAAGCAAATATGGTACATTTATTACATGATGCAGTAATATACTTCTAATGTTACCCTGTAGCATACTCTACAAAGTGTCTGAAACTGGTTTGCAATTGGGACACTACAACATTAAATAGTATTCGTCAAAACCATTAAATACAATAGTTTGTTTCTGTGGTTCTATTTGCTTCATCTTTTCTGTTGGACTCTGCATCACCCTCTGCTTTACTTCCCTCCTTCATGCTGTTCAGATTTAACTGTCTTTCTTACAACAATATTAACCTTTCTATCACTTTAACTTTTCACTAATGTCTGCTTTTCACCTCTCTCTCTCTCTCTCTCTCCCAAACCTCCCCTTTTCGTTCACCGTCTCTCCGTCTCCTTCTGACTCCATGTTAGTTTCCTCGTCTGATTTTTGTCTCCCTCCTCCTTCCCGTCCTCCTCCAGGACCGAACCGCTCTAAGCTTCAGGACATGTTGGCGAACCTTCGGGACGCAGAGGACCATCCCTCCATGCAGCCGCCCGTCACCCCCCCCTCCCGCCCCATTGTTCCCAGACTCAACGAACAGGAAGTGGGACGCTCTGAAGATGGTAACCTACCCTACTAAACCTGATTTATGTTGTATATGCATCTTAGCTATAACTAATGCTGTTGATATACTGAGATTTTAAGGGTGTCCATTATCATCTGGCCGGGGACAACAGCAGGGGGTTACCTTGGTTGGTGATTGGCTAATGGTTACTCAAGCCAAAACATCGTTATGACATCATAAAGTGGCCAAAATCTGATCAGCTCATTTTCAGACAGGTTTTTATAGAAATGGATCAGGACAGAAAGAGAGAGAATATTTTCTCCTGAAGCTTTCAGAGTCTCTTTCCACAGAGGGGACACATGTTGATGTAGAAGAGACATGAAGAAGAGGGGACACATGTTGATGTAGAAGAGACATGAAGAAGAGGGGACACATGTTGATGTAGAAGAGACATGAAGAAGAGGGGACACATGTTGATGTAGAAGAGACATGAAGAAGAGGGGACACATGTTGATGTAGAGGAGACATGAAGAAGTGGACTTTGCATAATAGGTGACCTTTGAACCCAGGTGTCTGTTTGGTCTCCGTAGAAGCGATGACTTTCCTGCCGTCTCCTGGGAAGTCCTTCATAATGGGCCGAGTGGACGAGGCGGTCTCCAACGAGCTGGGACTGGGAGAACTGGCCGGACTGACTGTGGCCAACGAGGCCGACAGCCTGGCGTACGACGTGAGTACAGAGTAAAACAGTTTGCAGTGGATAAGAGACAGAAAAGTGAGGCCACATTTGTGAGGAAGGAGCTGCTTGGCTTTGGCAGAGGAGATTTGTCACATTTTTCATGGACGCACCCCACATACTCAGCCCTGCTGCTCATTCCACAAATGCTTGTTCCTCACAAATGTGGCACCATTGGAATGGTAAGAAAACAGGCTTTCCAACGGTATAAGATTTATTGCCAAGAAACATTGTTACAACAAATAAATAATCTACCAAACACAGATTTCCTTACTTTTTGTGTTAAGTTTATGTGTAGACTTTATATAGACTTTTTGCACTACTTTTGTTGGATTGTTGGAGGAGCTCAGGTCAGAAGAATTTCATTGCCATTTCTACACCGTAGCTTTGTGCATATGACAATAAAACCTTTGAATCTTGAGACTAGAGTGTAAATTAGACCCCCCTCCCCCCTCAGATCACCAACAACAAAGACGCTCTGAGGAAGACGTGGAACCCGAAGTTCACCCTGAGGAGTCACTTCGACTCGGTGCGAGGTCTGGCTTTCCACCCCGTGGAGCCGGTGCTCGTCACGGCCTCCGAGGACCACACGCTCAAACTGTGGAACCTGCAGAAGACGGCGCCCGCCAAGAAGTGAGGCTTTATGTTAGGAAAAATATCACTCCAGCTTGAGCTTCAATCTCAGGATCCATGTGTTTCTGATCCTCTCCAGAATGGAAGTAGTCATCACATACAGAGCATCAACTAGTTCCTGAACAGTGTCCTTCACATGCTGATATCCAAGAGAGGGAGTTACACAGTCACAAGATGGAGGAATAGAAAGCAGTATTCAATGTTTACTTCAGATTAGCTCCACGTCAGAAATGAGCATGCTTGTCACATGTCTCTCTCCATAGAGGCTGAATCATCATGTTAATCACATAGCTATCATATGCCTCAAACAGTCCTGATGCTCTTCTAGGTAATCACACATCCTGTCATGTTCACAGCTACAGTTGGGATACCTTTGTTATCATGTGACTCTCATATTGGAAGAGGACTTTCAGTATTTTCCCAACACTTTACAATGTCATTCAGGCCAGGGGTGTCCAAACTTTTTTCACCGAGGGCCACATACAGAAAAATATAGGAAAGTCTGGGCCCCTCACTAGAGGCATATCGCCTCGTAAGTTAAGTTATAAGTTAGCTAAATTAATCAAATGTAGGTCAATTATGCCTGATACTTGAAAATGCCTTAAGAAGAAAACCGCCTACATCCCAGCTCTCCAGAGGGTTTACTTAATTTAGTTAGCAGCTCATTCCTTAAAACAGAAGCTCAGATTGATTACAATAAGGAGAAATATGAAGTGTCTACGTCAAGCTTGTTATGTCAATAAGTCATTGGGCTTTTTTCTTATCAACTAAGATTTGTTAGAACATGTTTCCAACTTTAACTGACTGAATTTATTTGAAAAGTGGACTTAAATATTAACACATGAATACTACTGTGTGATAGATTTTTACATATATATTTAAGAAGAAGACAAGCTCAAGTTTCATTTGTGGGCCGTATTACATTATACTTTTTTGAATTTTTGGCTGATTCAAAATGGTCCCCGGGCCGTAGTTTGGACACCCCTGAATCAGGCATTCATGTACTGTAAATATCTACCTCAGTATTTATTTACATGTTTATTCTATTTTATCTTTATTTTGTACCTTGTGTGAACATTGTTTTTCACTCTGCTGCTAAAAAACCCTAAAGTTCCATCTTATCTTATCTTAATCTGAAAAGGGCTATTTCTGGATTTATAATGAAATATTTCAGTGAGATGTGTTTTCTTGTTTTCTGTTAATATAACCTCTGTTCTGGTTGTTTTCCCTCCAGATGTACTGCTTTAGACGTGGAGCCTATCTACACATTCAGAGCTCACAGGTGAGATCCCTTTTCACTTTTTGTTTTAGCAATAAATATATAGATATTTCCTGTAGAACAAAAGCTTAATTAACAGGCTGTTTGAACTCAGCCAAAGAATGTTTATATAAAATATTCAGAAGTTTAAAGAAAATGAAGATACATTTTGAATTTTGATCTTGGACTTTTAGTTATGATTCTGCTTTTACTCAAGTAAAGGACCATTGGAGACATTCTTATATTCATGTTGTACATCAACTTATCTCGTTCTTTTAAATAAAATAACATTAATATTATTCATAACGACATGTTTGTGCGCTGTGCAATAGCTGGCTCCTAGTACTAGGATGGGTTAAATGCAGGGGTCAAATGTCACTATGTGTGCTGTGTATGTATGTGTGGCAGTTAAAGAGGGTTTCATCCTCCAATTCTATCTATTCTATTGGATATTTGATTTCATGATGCTCCACAGAAATGAACTATCTCATTAAAATATAAAAACGTCTCCCTGTGCAGCGGTGCGGTGTTGTGCGTCACGATGAGCTCCAGTGGAGAGCAGTGCTTCAGTGGGGGGGTGGACGGTACCATCCAGAGCTGGAACACCCCCAGCCCCAACATCGACCCCTACGACTCATATGGTACGCTCCAGCAGTAATTTACCTGCATGCAGAGATGGCAAAAGTACACACATCCTTTACTCAAGTAGAAGTACAGATACTCGTGTTTAAACATACTCTGGTAAAAGTAGAAGTACTGACTAAACTTCTTTACTCAAGTCAAAGTAAAGAGGCTTTGAAATGTACTTGAGTAAAAAGTACCCATAACTAGCAGCTGTTTTAAAGAGTACCTGACCTCCCTTTATATTAATAGAACGATAATGTCATTGTTAGCTAATGAATGTTTCCATGCTGAACAACGGCAACATGACAACGTTTCCATTGGTCCCTCTTCTTTAGAGAAGACCAGGAAATGATGGATACACGGATCGTGTTCAAATCAATAGGCACGCAATGACTCTAAATAATAATGATCACGCACCAAACACACATTCAGACTAAAGGAACCAGCTGTTTGGAAAATGAGAGAAGTAGAAAGTACAGGTATTTGTGTTCAACATGTAAGAAGTAGAAAGTACAGGTATTTGTGTTCAACATGTAAGAAGTAGAAAGTACAGGTATTTGAGTTCAACATGTAAGAAGTAGAAAGTACAGGTATTTGGGTTCAACATGTAAGAAGTAGAAAGTACAAGTATTTGAGTTCAACATGTAAGAAGTAGAAAGTACAGGTATTTGGGTTCAACATGGTAAGAAGTAAGAAAGTACAGGTATTTGAGTTCAACATGTAAGAAGTAGAAAGTACAGGTATTTGTGTTCAACATGTAAGAAGTAGAAAGTACAGGTATTTTGGTGTTCAACATGTAAGAAAGTAGAAAGTACAGGTATTTGGTGTTCAACATGTAAGAAGTAGAAAGTACAGGTATTTGTGTTCAACATGTAAGAAGTAGAAAGTACAGGTATTTGTGTTCAACATGTAAGAAGTAGAAAGTACAGGTATTTGGGTTCAAAGTGTAAGAAGTAAAAAGTCATCAGAAAAAGTAGTTGAGTAAAGTACTGATACCAGAAACATGTACTTAAGGACAGTAACACATTATTTGTACTCCACTACTTCCCACCTCTCCCTGCATGACAGCAGATGCAGAAGATGTTATTTTGTAATGTTTGATCCCTGTTTTACTTTTATGTATGCAGCACGATACCAAGTCAAATTCCTCGTACGTGTCAACCTACCTGGTAATAAACCTGTTTCTGATTGTGATTCTGATGTGTCCTGCAGAGCCGTCTGTCCTGCGGGGGGCGCTGCTCGGTCACTCAGACTCAGTTTGGGGTCTGGTCTACAGCTCGGCCCACCAGCGCCTCCTCTCCTGCTCGGCAGATGGTACGGTCCGGCTGTGGAACGCCGCCAGCATCTCGCCGCCTCTCGCTGTCTACAACGAGAGAGGAGGTACGAAACGATGTGATAAAACAAGACAACATCTTCAAGACCCTTTATTGAATTGAATACAAGTCAATAGTTTAAAACAGTAGGGAGACTATAGTATAGACCAGGGGTGCCCAACCAGTCGATCGCGATCGACCGGTCGATCGCGGGGAGATTCCCAGTCGATCGCGAGATGTGTCTAAAAATAGAACAACAATATTCTGTTTTATCGTTAATGTCCTATAACATAATCTTCCCGTGCCAGAATAATGCACTTGAACGCACCAAAGCTTTGTGATTGGCCGGCGTGGCCCCATGTGTGGGGGCGTGGCTGGTGGGCAGTGGGCACTATTTCGCTCACGTTGTCCGTGTCAACAGGAGTGACAGTCCGCACACACACAAGACCGCAATTATGGCAGAAGCAAAAAAGCTCAAAATATATAATTTTCACTCCGAGTGGGAGGATGATTATTTTTGAATCTGTTCCAATTCAAAGTCCATCTGTCTCATCTGCAATGCGAGCGTGGCTTTATCGAAGAAGGGTAATTTAGGAGCGGCATTTCAAAACAGTGCACAAACGCTACGAGACGGAATTCCCTCCTAATTCTGCCCTACGCTCCAAAAGGGGAGGGGCCTGAAAGGACAGCTAAATGCACAGCAGTCCATTTTCACCAGGCCCAACAACAAGAGCAAGGCTGCTACCATAGCATCTTATCGTGTCTGTCACGTTCTTGAGAAACACATGAAGTCTTTCGAAGACGGCGAAGTTGTGAAAGAAGCTTTCCTGGTGGCTGCCGACGCGCTTTTTGGGGACAGTAAAAATAACAGTAGCATTTCAACAGGTTTTTGATATAATAAAAACTCAAGTTAGATACCGTTATTAATCAGCTGTAAGTTTTAGTTTGTTTGAACTTATTCATTATAATTATTGTACAAAATGGTATAAGAATGCAAACTTAAATTGATTATAGTCTATTATCAATTCAGGTTAAGAAACTAGTGTTGCTTGCATCCTATTTTAAAGGCATTTATTTTTATACTCGACTAAAATGCAACAAAAAAGGGTTTGATTCTATTAATGTTGTCTTTTTTATTGCACTTTGGCAGCAGATTCCTGTGTAGCTTCAGATCTGAGTTGTTTTATTAATAAGCCTTATTTTATTGGCAAAGAAAGGGTTCAGAGTATTTTCTTTTTCCCTGTGTCATATGTGGCAGCACTGTTCAATGTTTCTTGAAAACATTACCCACTGTAGTGACGTGTGAATAAACTCCAACTCTGTATCAACAACACTGTTGTGTAACTTCAGTTAAATACTTGTATGTGTGTAGATTAGAAAGAGGTAAGATAAAGGATCTGCAGTATTTTATGAAGTATTCATGGTACAAAGGTCAGTTTTATACAAGTAGAAGTGTGTATTTATTTACCTGGTAGTAGGCTGTCAGTAATGGCTACGCCTCTCTATTTGGACTGGTAGATCTCGGCAGACTGGCAACTTTAAAAGTAGCTCTCGGTTCAAAAAAGGTTGGGCACCCCTGGTATAGACTGTAAAGTATGACTTCCTAGAAGCATGCTGATGTATATTTCATTAAAGGTTGGCTTTTTTCAAATAAAACAAGACCCATCAACAGACTCTGAATAATAATAATAAAACCAATATATAAATAACTATAACGCAACCCTACGCTGTAACTGTTAACACAAACAATGCACCTCAGCTTTAGGCTTACATAACTTGTATAACTTTCAATTGTGTGTGTGTGTGTGTGTGTGTGTGTGTGTGTGTGTGTGTGTGTGTGTGGTGTGTGTGTGTGTGTGTGTGTGTGTGTGTGTGTGTGTGTGTGTGTGTGTGTGCTGTGTGTGTGTGTGTGTGTGTGTGTGTGTGATGTGTGTGTGTGTGTGTGTGTGTGTGTGTGTTGTGTGTGTGTGTGTGTGTGTGTGTGTGTGTGTGTGTGTGTGTGTGTGTGTGTGTGTGTGTGTGTGTGTGTGTGTGTGTGTGTGTGTGTGTGTGTGTGTGTGTGTGTGTGTGTGTGTGTGTGTGTGTGTGTGTGTGGGTGTGTGTGTGTGTGTGGTGTGTGTGGTGTGTGTGTGTGTGTGTGTGGTGTGTGTGTGTGTGTGTGTGTGTGTGTGTGTGTGTGTGTGTGTGTGGTGTGTGTGTGTGTGTGTGTGTGTGTGTGTGTGTGTGTGTGTGTGTGTGTGTGTGTGTGTGTGTGTGTGTGTGTGTCAGAGCTGGGAGTGCCCACCTCGGTGGATCTGGTGAGCAGCGACTCGGCTCACATGGTGACGTCCTTCAGCACCGGACACATCGGACTCTTCAACATGGAGACGCAGCAGCTGGTCCTGCAGCTGGACTCTGCCGGACCTCCAGGTTACATCATAACAATAATAATAATAACACTACATGGGATTTTTATAGCGCTTTTCCTAATGCTCAAAGACACTTCATAAAATCAGAACAGAAACAATACAAAGAAAACAAATAAACGACCATTCACAGGGTGACCTCCACACTCATGAGGGAAACTGTAATACTGTTTAATGTCATTACTACGTCTCTCTCTTGGTTTTAAACAAAACCACATAGTTACACAGACACCAGTTCAACAACATCGTTGTTCTGCTGTGAAAATCCCTCTCCTGCTGCTGTGTGTTCCCTCAATGCTTTGAGATAACACTGTCTCTCTCAGAGTGCTTTCAGTCCCGATGGACTGAAGATTGTGGGTTTTAAATGTTAATGCTGTCCTTCTCACGTCCGCCCACACACAGAGGCTCCCTGCAAGATCAACAAAGTGCTGAGTCATCCCACGCTGCCAATCACCATCACAGCTCAGGAGGACCGGCACATCCAGTTCTTCGATAACAACACAGGTGACAGAGGAGAGCTTTCATTACATTCAAAGATTCAAAGGTTTTATGCAAAATCCACTTTTTCACATCTTGTATACATCAACATGTGTCCCCTCTTCTTCATGTCTCTTCTACATCAACATGTGTCCCCTCTTCTTCATGTCTCTTCTACATCAACATGTCTCCCCTCTTCTTCATGTCTCTTCTACATCAACATGTCTCCCCTCTCTTCATGTCATCTTCTACATCAACATGTGTCCCCTCTTCTTCATGTCTCTTCTACATCACATGTGTCCCCTCGTCTTCATGTCTCTTCTACATCAACTGGTCCCCTCTTCTTCATGTCTCTTCTACATCAACATGTGTCCCCTCTTCTTCATGTCTCTTCTACATCAACATGTGTCCCCTCTTCTTCATGTCTCTTCTGCATCAACATGTGTCCCCTCTTCTTCATGTCTCTTCTACATCAACATGTGTCCCCTCTGTGTAAAGAGACTCTGAAAGTTTCAGGAACAAAGATTCTCTCTGTTTTTGTCCTGATCCATTTCTATAAAAACCTGTCTGAAAATGAGCTGATCAGATTTTGGCCACTTTGTGATGTCATAATGATGTTTTGTCTTGTGTAACCATTAGCCAATCAGCAACCAAGGTAACCCCCCCTCCCCCACCTTATCACCTGAATCTCCTCCTAGAGCACCATTGAGTTCTTTGTAACCAAATATCTCTCAGAGGGGCGTGGGGAGGGGCTCCTTATTTTCATCTAAAGTAACAGACAGAGAATCAGCACTTTTGAAACAGGGCTGAAACAGAGGGGATTATGGGTAATGCTGCAATGATCTGTTTGGTGTTTCAGCCAATGAGAGACAGGCTCTGTATATATCTGAGACCTGTAATATATTGATGAAAAACAGTATAATAGGAGACCTTTAATGTCATATGCACATTCAGTGTAGGAATGGCAATGAAATTCTTATGACTCGAACTCCTCCAACGATGCAACGTATATCATAAAATACAAATAAAAAATGGAGCTAGAAGTCTATATAAGCATACAAATATGATGAAGAACAGAATGTAACATTTAATGTTGTACATTAACTCAAAATTAAAACGGTTAAATAAGGAACACAACGCTAACTTTACATGTCCAATTCTGTTAAATTCATCATGATGTATCCCAATCAGATAGTTCAAAAGGTGTCATTGTTTTCTGACGCCTTACGTCTGTTGAGAGAGAAGACATCACTATTACACTTCAGGGCTATCTCAGTTTGACACACAACCTGCATAACAAGAGTGTTTTTATAGAGAAGTAACTGTCTATCAAGCAAGTGATGCTCCAAAGATGCTACTGAGTTATAGACATTTTTTGAGCTTGACATACAGGGGACTTAAAAAGCTGTAATTCAGTTATATCCAATCTCTTTCTGTCATCAGAGTGATTCAATTGGATAAAGAGTCATTTGTTCTTCTTTTTCCGGTTTGAAGGTAAACTGATCCACTCGATGGTGGCTCACCTGGACTCCGTCACGTGTCTCGCTGTGGATCCAAACGGACTGTACCTCATGTCAGGAAGTACGTATTCAGCCATCATTTCTGTTGTTCATTGTGAAAAATGTAAACATTCAAGGATGGCAAAGCAGGCATTGTTGGGAATAGTCTGTCTGTTTCAAAACAATCTAAGAAAACATGTCTTTATATCAGATCCATTGTACACAGTTACATTTCTTAGCACAGAAACATCAAAAGACTGTTCAGATTTAGGAAGCCTTCACTCTTTATCCTCTATTGAATATCATGAGAGATTCATTGCTGTGTTTAACATTTCAATCGAAACATAAACTAAGACTGGAGCCACACGAGAACGGTAACGCAAACGAACCAAAATCGTTATCAGAAAAGTCTTCCGTCCACACGCAATAGGCACCAGAAACGTGTCCTTCCACACGAGACCGCTCGACCCGCTGGAGACGCTGTATCACTCAATCAATGTTACATTTGTCTCAGTGGACTTCACAGTTTGTACAGAATATCAGTATGACAATACGACACCCTCTATCCTTAGACCCTCTGTCCTTAGACCCTCACATCGTACAAGGAAAAACTTCCGGGAAAACCCACAGCTTAAAGGGAAAATGGGAGAAACCTCAGGGAGAGCAACAGAGGAGGGATCCCTCTCCCAGGACGGACAGACGTGCAATAGATGCCGTGTGTAAATCGAAGAGATAATACATTTGCTGTAGTACATATGCCGGGCCTGTAAGTGGCGCTGTACTTCCGCCACAAAATACACCAAAAGCAGCGAAGAAGACTTCCGAGCATGGTTTCCATGGTTGCCCTTCTGTTTATTCTCCGCGGTGGATTTAGCAGCAGAGGTGAGGAGAGGCAGCAGGTTTTCTCCGTCAGCAGCAGCTGATCTCTCTCTCCTGTCCGAATAGACTTCACTCGCGTTTATGTCCATATCGATCAGATCTAGCTTATGATATGACTGCCTGAGCGTCAAAGGACACTCAAACAATAAGCGACATTTTGCCGGGGAATTTTTGATTTCGGCTTACGGACACTCTGCTGTGCGGGGGGGGGGGGGGGTCTGCTGGAGGCACCTGCTGGGTGCACTGTCCTGCGAGATACCGGGACCTGGCTCGAAACACTCAGAAAACTGTTGTTGTTGTTGTTGGCGAAACACATCAGCAATGACGCGGGTGACACGGGGTGAGCAGGAGAGGTGGGGAGAGGCGGGGCTATGGCGTCATCGTTTTCAGAAAACGATCGTATAGGGCGTAGACACGGAGCCGTTTGGCCCCCCAGAGCATTTCGTCCGCAGATCTACCCACCTTGGGACCCGTTATCGTTATCTGCGTTTCCCTGTTCGGCCTTGTGTGGCCGAACCGTCTATCTGATAGAGAACTGTAGCGGATATGACCGTTTTTGTTCTCGTGTGGCTCCAAAAGAGATGCCCCTTGCAAAATACGAATTACAGTAAAAAAACAAAACAGTAACATTTAGTCAGATTATAAAGTACTATCGAAAATCGGAATATTGTGAGTTTACTCTGAATGGACTGAACACCTTGAAAGACTGATTCACTTTATTGATCCCAAATTGGGAAATGATGTTGTCACAGCAGCAGCAGGTTAGCAAGGCATTGTTTAAATAAATAAACTGTGGGTCTCGAGAAATACATCCTCATTGTCTCCTTCCTTTTCCTGTTTCTCTTCCTCGTCCTCCTCCTCTTCCTCCTCCTCCTCCTCCACTTCTTCCTCTCCTTCTTCCTCTTCCTCCTCCTCCTTCTTCCTCTTCCTCCTCCTCCTCCTCTTCTTCTTCCTCCTCCCCCTCCTCCTCCTTCTTCCTCTTCCTCTTCCTCCTCCTCCTTCTTCCTCTTCCTCTTCCTCCTCCTCCTCTTCCTCTCCTCCTCCTCCTCCTCCTCCTCCCAGGTCACGACTGCTCCATCCGCCTGTGGAACATGGAGAGTAAGACGTGTATCCAGGAGTTCACGGCGCACAGAAAGAAGTCGGAGGAGTCGATCCACGACGTGGCGTTTCACCCGACAAAATGTTACATCGGCAGCGCCGGAGCCGACGCGCTCGCTAAAGTCTTCGTATGACCGGAGACACGGAGGAAATGAGAAAGAGGAGACACGGAGGAAATGAGAGAGAGGAGACACGGAGGAAATGAGAGAGAGGAGAACGTCTCCACATCTGAAAGCTGAAGGAGACAGTTTACCTGGACTGCTCCTTCTAAGATTTGTCAAATATTCCCCCCTCCCCTCTTCCCCTGTTGGGACTTAGGCTGGCCCGGGTCCCGAAAACAAACAAACCTCTGGATGAGACGATGAATGAAAACAGGAAGTGGCAAAAAAAACAAAAAAACAGGAACTCTCAGAAGTTTTCAGTAAAGCTGGAATCTCTTTTCTTTTCTCTCCACCGTCACTGACCCCAGAACAGCCTGTGTCTGTCGGTGTTGCTTAGAAATATCGTTCATGATAATGTGCCTTTTTACTTCACAATATGAATCATTTAAGGTGTTGAGGAAAATGTATTTCGTGAATCAGAAGATCCACTTTTATCTCTCAAAAATAGACAAGAGTAACAACCCACTTTTTCGAATATTCAGTCCGATCTGAATGCTTCTTTTGAACACTAAATCCTTTCGTTTACTAATTTCGCCTCTCGATGACCTCCCACTCTGCACAGAACTCGTGGACTTTTGCTTTCAATCGAATTTGGTGTGCTTTTTCCTGTTTTAAGTTTTTGCTTGCAGCCTGAAGAAGACTTAGTCAGACCCATACAGGTTTCATCCAGTTAACGCTTACACTAGAAGGTAAGAGGTCAAAAGTCATGACCCTTGTTCTGTTTGGAGATGGTAGTGCTGGGTGGACACTCTGAAGGCAGGTCACATGATAAACATCTGGTGGGTTTCATTTCAAAATCTGAGGGTTTTCAACACATTAGTGATCCCATTATTAGACTACAGAAGAATTTATGGCGCATTTCCACTACAGCGCGGTTTAAGAGTGCCGTGCCCGGTCCGTTTTTGGTGGCGTTCCCACTAGGCATAGTTCCGGCTAGCGGGTACTATTTCACAGTTTTTCTGGCTCTCCAAAATCAAGGTTCTTTCCGGGCCAACAACCGGGCTGAGTATGCTAAACTAGTGAGAGAATCGCTGGCAACTACAACAAAATGAACATATTTTACCGTCATTTAATTGTAATACACGTTTCAAAATGATGCCGAAGTAACAACATACTGATACCGGTTAGTAAAAACCATGAATTAATGCTTTGACAAGTCTGCAGACAGACGGCAGGCGAAAAACCTTTTAAAATGCGTGTTTTCTGAATGGAGATCGGCTAAGCTAACGTTGTAAATGCTCCGACCGTCCACACTCACAACAACGGCCTATATAGACATAAATAAACCAGCGACTGTATTCGCCATGACACAGGCAGTCTGTGGTTTGTACTTGTTTAACTTTTGTCTAGTTTCTGAACAGATATGAGGAGCTGTGAGCTCTGACAGCTAACGGCTGGTTTTGTGTTTCTCATTGAAGATAACGTCACGGCTCCGCCTACACTGCGTTACTATAGTTACTACCCCAGTTCCTAAACTGTAATGGAAACGCAGCATAAAGTGAGCCTGGCCTAACGAGGCCTAGCCATACCGTACTAAGCCGAGCGAGGCCCTGCAGTGGAAATGTGCCGTTAGACTCTGTTGATGGAGATGGGGAAGAGTTGCATGAACCAGCAGAAAATCAGGAATTGGCTCGTTGATTGATTTTGTCTTCACTCTGCTCCTGCTGCACTTTGGTGAATTTTTTAAGTTAATTTACATATTTCCGTCAGAGCAGCAAACATACATGAACACACTACTAGCTTAATATCTTTTTTTAACCCCATACTGACAGAAAGAGGAACACTACAGAGAGATGTTACAGCCTCTTGGTCATTTGAATTGAACCCCTTCAGAGTGTTTGGATGCAGCAGTGACATGTTGTTAACGATTACTGTAAAATACTGCACCTGTAAACACATCTGCCGTCATGTGACTCTAATAGTTGTAGATCAAACAGAAAACTTCTCTCCAAAGTGAACAAAAGAATCTGAAATATTTGGGGTTTGATTTCCTTGCCGAAAATCGCTTTCCTGTGAAATATTTTGGATCGAATCCTTTCTGATTCAGTGGTTTTGATCCACGTTGTGCTGCTTTTCATTGTGTATTTAAAGTCTGACAAACTAAAGCTTCATATATATTATTTTTCTTTGTATTAATGAATTACTTACTTAAAAAAAAAACGCCAAATTAAAGCCAAAAGACTCAACGAGGGACGAGGAGTTGCTTCCTACTAAACCCGACAGTTGTTGTTGCTAATGCTAATTAGCTCCTTTTGTTGTGAAATAACATTTAAAGTAACAGCTGTTTTAGTTCCCAAACCACACACACACACACACACACACACACACACACACACTCCCCTCCAGATTTGTAAAACGCTTTATATGCTGACTGCCTGAAAATATTGTATTTTGTGTAATTATTATTATTGTTATTTTGAGCAACGACTAGTTTTTTAAACAACTTTTTGTGTTTGGTGACAGAATTGTAAAAAATACAGGTAGATATTTTTTTTATTCTCTGTTTTACTTGAAGTGTATTCCTTTGGGGTTTCTGCTGGTGTTGTAAGAAGTATTTATTTACTTGACTTTACCTCTCAGCACTACATAACACCTTGTTGCTTTTTACCAAATTATCATCTCAAAAAATTGCAGCTGTTTGTGAGACGGGGGAAAGTTTTGGGTCGGATTTTGTGTTGCTTTTCTTTTAAAATTGCAAATGTGTAAAAAGGGTTAGCAGATGATATGTGTACAGTTTTAAAGCAGATCTATTTATAAACGTGGTGTAATTTAAGGGAAATTCAGTGAATCATTTATGGACTTTAAAGTGAGCTGAACGATCAAATATTATTTATGTTACACGTACACATTTAGAGAGTCAATGGCTGCAGTTTAAATTCAGATTTCCTGTGAAATGATGCATTGTTCACCTCCTCATCGTAATCTGAGTTCAGTGACAGGATGTTTTGAGTGCTGTTCCGTTAAAAGGCCGAATATGTGACCCGAGAGTTTGTTGAATTCTGGAACATTTTAAAAGCTCTTTATTCCAAAAGTTCACTTTAATTCCAGAAGAAAACAACTCATCCGTTCAGGTTCATCAGACACACTGAGTTTAGATATTTATATTCCAAAAAATAAGATAATTTAAAGAGGCCCTGTTATGCTCTTTGGGGTTTTCCCTCTCCTGTTGTGTGTTATATTGGTTTGTGCATGTTAATGGTCTGCAGAGACAACATTTCCATAGAATTGGGATTGAAACGCCTCCTTTGTTTACTTCTGTAACATAGGGACATCACTATCACATTACCAATCACAACAGAGGCGACCAGCTAACCAATCAGAGCAGACTGGGCTCTGGTTTCAGACAGAGGGTGAAAAGAGGTGCTGCAGCACAAGCAGTATGAGAAAAATAAAGAGCTTTTTGAACATTAAAGCATGGAGACATGTAGAGACACTACATGCTGATATATACCTGAACATCAGCAGGAGAGGACTCTTTAAAGTAGAGACACTACATACTGATATACACCTGAACATCAGCAGGAGAGGACTCTTTAAAGTAGAGACACTACATGCTGATATACACCTGACAATGAGCAGGAGAGGACTCTTTAAAGTAGAGACACTACATACTGATATACACCTGAACATCAGCAGGAGAGGACTCTTTAAAGTAGAGACACTACATACTGATATACACCTGAACATCAGCAGGAGAGGACTCTTTAAAGTAGAGACACTACATACTGATATACACCTGAACATCAGCAGGAGAGGACTCTTTAAAGTAGAGACACTACATACTGATATACACCTGAACATCAGCAGGAGGACTCTTTAAAGTAGAGACACTACATATTGATATACACCTGAACATCAGCAGGAGAGGACTCTTTAAAGTAGAGACACTACATACTGATATACACCTGAACATCAGCAGGAGAGGACTCTTTAAAGTAGAGACACTACATACTGATACACACCTGAACATCAGCAGGAGGACTCTTTAAATTAGAGACACTACATATTGATATACACCTGAACATCAGCAGGAGAGGACTCTTTAAAGTAGAGACACTACATACTGATATACACCTGAACATCAGCAGGAGAGGACTCTTTAAAGTAGAGACACTACATACTGATATACACCTGAACATCAGCAGGAGAGGACTCTTTAAAGTAGAGACACTACATACTGATATACACCTGAACATCAGCAGGAGAGGACTCTTTAAAGTAGAGACACTACATACTGATATACACCTGAACATCAGCAGGAGAGGACTCTTTAAAGTAGAGACACTACATACTGATATACATCTGAACATCAGCAGGAGGACTCTTTAAAGTAGAGATACTACATATTGATATACACCTGAACATCAGCAGGAGAGGACTCTTTAAAGTAGAGACACTACATACTGATATACACCTGAACATCAGCAGGAGAGGACTCTTTAAAGTAGAGACACTACATACTGATATACACCTGAACATCAGCAGGAGAGGACTCTTTAAAGTAGAGACACTACATACTGATATACACCTGAAAATGAGCAGGAGAGGACTCTTTAAAGTAGAGACACTACATACTGATATACACCTGAAAATGAGCAGAATGGGGCCCCTTTAAACTTAACAGGGACAAACATATAATGGCTTACTGTATGCCAATAGCCAAGTAAACGATTTGTAGATCCAACATCTCTGAACCAGGAACTAAATCCCAATTTTCTTAGTTGAAAGCCATTCTACTTTGATTAAAAAAAAATTACACAACAAAGATTATCACATATGAGTTAATACCACAAAAACTGAAAAACATCCACAGCAGTGATTCCCAACCTGAGGTGATTACAAAGAGAGGAGAAATAAATACATTCGTTTTTTTATTGTGAAAATCTGGCTAGGAGTCTTATTGAAGATTGAACTTATTGTCATTAGGTGCAGGTACTATGTAACGAAACGGTTTCTCTGCACTTGACCCATCCTAGTGTAGGAGCAGTGGGCTGCCATTATGTACGGCGCCCGGGGAGCCGTGTAGGGAACGGTGCCTTGCTCAGGGACACCTCGGTAGCACTTGGTCTTTCCGGGACTTGAACTGGTGACCTTCCAGTTGCCAAGCCAAGTCCCTATGGACCTCGCCACCATCGCCCTCCTATGAGAAACTATACCAATGGATTTTGAGTTGAACAGCATAACTCAGCCTGGGATGAGGGTTTCATACACTGAGCATCTTTAAAGTGTCACGAGCCAAAAGAAAAAGGTTGTACAATTGTGAATTGAGACTTTTAAGGGAAGCTTGAATTTGTTTTTAATGGAGTCTGGTTGCTTGTTGAGGTCATTTATCACGGTGTTGCAGAAACATGACAGTTACATCACCGCTGTCTACAGATGGCAGTTTATTGCACCCTAAATTAAAGCTTAAATAAAATAAAGCTTCATATTTTGGTTTATTTTCTTCCTCTATTCATCTAAAAACAACTGGACTAGAATCAAACCTGACTAACACCAGACTCCATTCACATTTATGTACCTTTTCCACTTTCAGAGCAATGTTCGCCAATGATTGAACTTCATTTAGCATTTTACATTTTGTTTTATAAAAGCATTAGAGTTGATATCGTCTCTCACACTAAACTAGCCAGTAGTGACGTAGGCAGCTGAACTCTTTAAGATTTATATTTTGTCGTCTTCAGTGGCCAAATGCAGATCTGAACCCACAAACTGAATGAAGACGGTTCAGTTTGCTTGGTTCAATGATTGTTGTCCTTTAACGTGTACAGTGGTTCTATTAAAGAGATTTTAGATGCTGGCTGTACATAAAGTACAAACGGGTGTTGTTCTCCTTTTTCATTGTTGTTCTTTTTTTTCAAAATGGGATTTATCAGTAACAACAATAAAGGAATATGTTGTATATCATGATGTGTGTGTTGTTTTCAGCTTCACATGAGGAGAATACACCAACACACTATCAGGAAGCTGAACCCATGCACAAATATACATACAAATAGTTATTGACTCAGTTTTGTTATTTCATTATTAACAGGAATGTGACTATTATCATTACATTTTACTTGTTAGACGCTTTTATCCAAAGCGACTTACATACTCAATACTGTGGGCAATCCCCACAGGAGCATTTTGGGGTAAAGTGTCTCGGGACACAACGACATGCTGACTGCAGTGGGGTTTGAACCTATGCTCCCCTGATCCGAACACCAACGCACTAGGCCACTGCACCACAACCCAAAAAAACATTGTGCATTACATTAATGAAGATCGTGCAAACAATGCCTTGTCTTTGAATACTGTTGTTTATTTCTATATTTTATTTTACTGTATTCAGTTTCTTACGTATTTACATTTTGTGGAAATATTGTCTTTATTATTAATTTGTTACGAAAGTCTTTAAAATTGTTTTTAAAAATATCTTTTATAATAATACTATTTTTTGCTCTGTATTCTTCCTTATGTTTCCTTTAATGCACCATTTACATGAAAGCTAATTAATTGGCAATACAACCAATTCTGAAATACTTAGTTATTAAAAATAATTTAAATGTATCAGCAAAATATTTGTAAAGCCATGTAAAAAATGGACTTCAAATCGGGAATGCATAAAATAATTCAATTGACTGAGTTTTGAAATTGCATTATTGACAGAAAAAAAGGAAACCAATACCAACAACAACCACCTGTTGTTATTTGTGCATTATAATACAGTGTAATTGCAGCTTCCGGCCGCCAGGGGGCAGCGCGGTGCCGGCAATGAGTTGACTCTGCAGTAAACATTAGCAGAAGAAGCTAGCTAGCTCCTGTAAACAAAGCTGATCCGCCTGTCTGTTAAAACAACCAACAAACTGCTTAACCCGGAGAGGAGATATGATTATAAACACGTCTACATAACACTTAGGTAAGTATACATTCAGGTTATCGCCAAATAGTTTAATGCTAAGCGAGAAATTAACTCGAAAAAGCACCTTTTGGTTTGTCAGCTAACTAACTAGCATACACATGCTAAAGTTAACACTAGAAAATCATCCGGGATCTGAACGTTGACTTAATTATTTCATGTTTTACTTTGATCACGACTAATTTGACTTTGTATTATATATTGTCAGGTGGAAATGATGGAGTGTTAAGTTAAAAAAACTGGTGTAACGGATGTGGATGTGTGGCTAGCTTAGTTAATGTTAAGTTAGCTCAAAATGAACGTCAAATGTAACGGCTTTATTGTCATATGCACACTATCCACAGTGTAGATATGGCAATGACAATGCCCCAAGCTCCTCCAACAATGCAACATAATATATATAAGACATAAACAATAGTGCAAACTGAAGTAAAATAGTACAAGATGATGTTGCAAGTAATGCAGGAGAAGTGAACAAAATACATGTAAATAGAATGACCTAAAACAGGATGTACAATTAAATACTGTACAAGGATCAAATACTGCTTATGGATTGCTGGGGGTCTTTGATGATCCTTTGACCTATATTGAAGTTTGGATGCCTTTTCTCAGTGTCTGAACATAAAGGGCATTTACTCTGTGTTTCTCTCCAGACTCCGGTCCGACAGCAGCAGTACACTCCGGTCCTGGAGCTGCCATGTCCCGGCCTGCAGTCTGACTGTAAGATAATGGCTGCAGAGCTGTATCCCACCAAGAAGCTGGTCCCCTCCACCTCAGCGAGTAGCACCGCCACCTCTTCCTCCTCCTCATCCTCCATCCAGCAGTACCAGCAGCAGAACCAGACCAACAACAACTCCAGCAACCAGAGCTGCTGCAACTGGCAGGGCCTGTACCCGACCATCCGGGAGAGGTCAGCCCGAACACACCAAACTACAGATATATAATAGTGATGAGGTGTTTGAGACAGGTGCAGGCTGCTGGGTGATGAGAGTAGGAGAGGTTAGACCTGTCATTATAACTCATTTGTAATGGTTTATACATTGTCCCAGAAACAATTGCGATTCACAATGTTAGTGTCATTTAAACACCACGTTATGCCACTGATATAATGATAATATCATAATGTAAGTATAGCCTTTCCAAAAGCAATACACTTAATGCTAAAGACCATTCAGACCTTGGACTGGTATTTGAAACTGAATCCTCAATTAATTAAACAGATACGATAGAATCACACAATTAATACGTGACAATGCCCACGTCTTATTTTGATAGGGGAAACCTTTCCGTTCACTCTGATGTCATTCTTATTCAAACAAACACGCAAGTAAATACAACGAGCAATATCAAGATTTCAACAAATGCTTGACGTAATGTCTATATATTAGAAAAAGTTGATAACGTAAAAAAAATTGAGGTCGATTTAATGTACCATGATTGTAACGCCTATGGAGAGATCCATACGAGCATAATATGTTGAGTTTACAGAAAAGTATGAAGTTTTAACAACATACTGATACAACAGAGACAATCCAAATGACTAGAATGGTAATCTGAGCGTACTGTGTATGATCACGAGGCTCGAGGAGGTTTTCAGGCATCTCCCAGGTGTCTCCAACCAAAATAACAATCATTGTTTTTTTGTGTCCTTGTAGGAATTCAGTCATGTTCAACAATGAGACGATGGCAGATGTTCACTTTGTGGTCGGACCACCTGGCGGGACGCAGCGAGTACCAGGACATAAGGTACAACCCGTTTTCTCCAGGCATTAACTGTGATGCTTTTAAAGAGGGAGACCATGAACAGCTGTTTGTGGTTCTTGATTTGTCTTACGCAGTTATATAAAAGATTAGGGATGCACAATATTGGTTTTTTGAAACCGATACCGATAACTTCCTGCTTCTCAAGACCGATACCGATAACCGATAATAATATAATATATGTATATATTAAATGTACCTGTAGTTTTTGCACACCTGGTGGTGCCTTTGCAGCTGGCTTTGGATTCGCCGCTAGTTTAGCAGCGCAGGCGTCTTCGTACGCTTTTAACACACCATCGTAGCGATGGCGATGTTTCAGGTGACTAATCAGGTTGGAAGTATTATAGCTCGTTGCCTTTTTCCCTCCTCGTGGAACTTCTGCATTTGTTAATACAAATAGCAAGCGAACTATCTAACTCTGAAACTTTGAAATAGTCCCATACTACCGGCGACATGTTTGTTTACTGTCCTGGCTTCACGGCCGCACACCATTTACGTCACAGCCAGGCATGAGTTAGGGAGCGCTGGATTTGTGAAAAACTCCCCTCTTCCTTAAACCACTAATACCACAGTACTGGCAAAACGGGAGGAGCGGAGTGAAAAACAAGCGCCCCTCATCCCAATCCACCCACACCGCAGTATTTTTTTCTTTTTTTTTACCCAAAAAATATATTGTATATTATCGGGGCTATTAATACTGTTATCGGGTTTATCGGGATGACGTCATAATTCCTAATATCGGACCGAATATTATCGTGCACCACTATAAAAGATAGTTTATTATTTTTTCCTTTGACTAAAACAAGGCTAGGTGGACACTAGAACAAAGCAGAACATGCAAAACAGGGAAACCTTTGATGTTGAAAAATTAACCTCATTGTCATAACAGCAAATAAGTTAAGTCATAAGAATCAGACTGAAAGGTTCAAGGCTTTTATTAGTCACAGGTACATAGCTACAGTGTAGTTATGACGTCACATTTGTGTCCGTTTTAAGTGGAGATCGTGTCTCTCATGTTGTTATACTTGCTCCTCTGTCAGTACGTCCTGGCCGTCGGCAGCTCCGTGTTCCACGCCATGTTTTATGGAGAACTGGCCGAGGATCAGGAAGAGATCCGGATCCCTGACGTGGAGCCGCCGTCGTTCCTCGCCATGATGAAGTATGTCTCAGATTCATTCAGTGTTTATGGACTGGGCTTTTTGCTTTGTTCCTATTAAAACAATATACTTCACAGTACATACAATCGTGACCTAGTTGTATTCCACTATAAAATAAGAATAAGTTAAATGTACGTTTTTGAAGTGAAGTTTAGTTTGCTTTGCACAGCGCTTTGAGGCATTTCTTGTGAACTGGGGCTATAATACATTTTGATTTGATTCGAAGGCTTTAATCCCATCCTTTAACTTCTCAGGTATATCTACTGCGATGAGATCGACCTCTGCGCTGACACGGTGCTCGCCACCCTGTACGCCGCCAAAAAGTACATCGTACCTCACCTGGCGCGGGCCTGCGTCAACTTCCTGGAGACCAGCCTGAGCGCCAAGAACGCCTGCGTGCTTCTGTCCCAGAGCTGCCTGTTCGAGGAGCCCGACCTGACGCAGCGCTGCTGGGAGGTGATCGACGCTCAGGCCGAGCTCGCCCTCCGCTCCGAGGGTTTCTGCGACATCGACTCTCAGACGCTGGAGAGCATCCTGAAGCGGGAGACTCTCAACGCCAAGGAGATGGTGGTGTTCGAGGCGGCGCTGAACTGGGCCGAGGCGGAGTGTCAACGCCAAGATCTGTCGCCGACGATTGAGAACAGACGCTTGGTTCTGGGGAAAGCCATCTACCTGATCCGCATCCCCACCATGGTGCTTGAGGATTTCGCAGACGGAGCGGCGCAGTCCGGCGTGCTCACACTCAACGAAACCAATGACATCTTCCTGTGGTTCACCGCCGCCAAGAAGCCCGAACTCTTGTTTTGCAGCAAACCTCGTAAAGGTTTGGCACCGCAGCGTTGCCACCGCTTCCAGTCGTGCGCCTACAGGAGCAACCAGTGGCGATACAGAGGGCGCTGCGACAGCATCCAGTTCGCCGTGGACAAACGGGTCTTCATCGCGGGATTCGGTCTGTACGGATCCAGCTGCGGCTCGGCAGAATACAGCGCTAAGATCGAGCTGAAGCGCCAGGGCGTGTCCATGGCTCAGAGGAACATCAAGTACTTCTCTGACGGGTCCAGCAGCACGTTCCCCGTCAGCTTCGACTACCCGGTGCAGATCGAGCCCGACACTTTCTACACCGCCAGCGTGGTGCTGGACGGGAACGAGCTCAGCTACTTCGGGCAGGAGGGCATGACGGAGGTTCAGTGCGGGAAAGTGACCTTCCAGTTCCAGTGCTCCTCGGACAGCACCAACGGCACCGGGGTGCAGGGAGGACAGATCCCCGAGCTCGTGTTCTACGCCTGAGACGAGCAGAGACTCCTGCTTCACTGCCATGGACACTTTTACTTTGAACGTGTGGAGACGAGTTGTGTTTTTTTTCGGAGGGACGGACTCCTGGAGTTACTGCTGAGTCATACAGTGCTGCAGTGACGAGTCCTAAAACCCGGAAGTGAGTCAGCGTTTCACCACTTCCGGTTCCCTCGCCTCAGAGCCAACGGGATTTTGAACTAGTTTTTGGAAAATAGCTGGAACTAAGGTCTGTGGTTGAGACACATGTAAGAGACGGATCCTGTTTTGTTCTACGACATTAAATACATCAGCAGTGGAGATTTCTGAAGAGTTTACGTGTCTGAAAAACGATGGTTGTTACCAATGTGGCTGAATAGGACTACAGAAGTTGTCGAGGACGTTGACGTCATTACGCCGAACGCGTAACACTCCCGCTAAGTTTGTTTGCCCTGTTCTGCTTGAAAGCAAGTTCCCTGCCTCCTGCTAACTGTTCAAACAAACGCTTCAACTCGTACCATTTAGAATCTGTATGTTTGAATATGGATCTTAAGTCGGCGTGACGTTGAAGTCGTGCGACCCTGCTGTAGTTCGTTTATAGCATAACGTTAGCATTTTGCTTCTGGCGATTAGATTTACGATTGGAAAGTTATAAAGTAGGGTAGACGTGGAGATTATCCGGCTGAACAAAACGTGCATTTATCAAACAGGTCCGTTTTCCACAGACCTTATTTTTTACAATATTCCGAAATCCCGTTGCTTTTTCGTCGAGGGAACCCTTGCACCGCTTACTTCCGGGTCGAACTACAACTATACGTCATCACTGCTCCGCTCTATAGAGACGTGGCGGTGGAAACATGAAGACACGATGGAAGAACCCTCACATGTTTTTGTTTCACAGCTGCTGTCGTTGTGGTCATCACTGCTTCACTTTCTCTTGAAATATAAACCAGCATTACGGGTGGGAGATATAGAGGAAATCATGGTGCATATGCAATTTTATATTACGATTAAATATAACAAAGAAAAACATTTAATGGGGAAATTATGAATGGATCAAATAATCTTAAAGGATTGTCCGTATTTTCACTAATACAGTGAATTAAACAAATCAAAGTATTCATCACAATAAGCTGATACTAAAAACACCATAACGCTGATTCTTGATTTACAGCATTGCTCTTAATGTCCGTATGCAGTTCGTTGTTATTACGAATATAACGCTAAAGTAAACAAGACACTTTCATTGGACGATGACTAACCCCAGGAACATTAAAATGCTCTCATTAATGTGCAACAAGTCAAACGTACAAACAAGTGCAGCGCTTAAAAGACTTAAGCACAATGCCAAGTGCTTTTTTTAAATTAATATAATACGTTATCCGCGACCTGGACAACTTTCCAGGCTCACAAATCCTCATCTTTTATTCCTTGCATATATAAATGGTAAAAATTAGGGATGCACGATATTGGTTTTTTGAAACCGATACTGATAACTTCCTGCTTCTCAAGACCGATACCGATAACAAAAAAAAATGTACGCCACTAATTATTTTAACGCGATTAACGCATATGTATTTTTGTCCTCGGCCGCCCCGTAGTTTCAGAGCGCATCGAGTTTAAAATACCATCTACAAGCTGATGCTGACAGCCCCGCTCCTGCCGCCCGCTTGCAGCAGACCACACTTCCACGCTCACCGGCAGGCACCGACTGGCTGTTGGGAGGACCGGGAGGGTGTGTGTATGTGTGGCACGAGCGAGCGAGAGAGAGACCTTACGTGCATTGTTGTTGTTAGCATCTGGTGCTAGCTAGCTGCGCTAACGGATATAAGGAGCTGTTTAAATGAAAACAGAGGAGCGACATTTCGCCACAACTGCGCCGAGCACTTGACTTTATGCAGGAAGCCAGACAGTGGGACATTGTACGAGAAGTCAGCACACTCAGCACGGATAGTGCGCAACATGATTGCAGCGTCCAGGCAGCTCCGGTTCGAGCATATGCCTTGAGTTGCACATAGCACCAACGCCCATACCACCGACGACATGTTTGTTTACTGTCCTGGCTTCACGGCCGCACACCATTTACGTCACAGCCAGGCGTGAGTTATGGAGCGCTGGATTTGTGAAGAACCCCCCTCTTCCTAAACCACTAATACCACAGTACTGGCAAAACGGGAGGAGCCGAGTGAAAAACAAGCGCCCCTCATCCCAATCCACCCACACCGCAGTATTTTTATTTTTATTTTTTTTTTACCCTAAAAATATATTGTATATTATCGGGGCTATTAATACTGGTATCAGGTTTATCGGGATGATGTCATAATTCCTAATATCGGACCGATAATTATCGGGCCGATAATTATCGTGCATTCCTAGTAAAAATACAAACCAATCCAACAAAACCTGAAACAATTAATCTGTTTGAGTAATTTCCAACTAAAACAAAGTCAGAATTCTCCTGATTTTTTTTGCTTAAATTTGAAGACTTTTTGATTTATTTTCTACTTAATGACCGTAAACTAAATATTGTATAATAAGTTGTGGACAAAACAACACGTTTGAGGAAGTTATGTTGGGTTAGGGACACATTTATAGTTTTTTTGCCCTATTTTCTGATAGTTAATTGACTGATTGACAACGACATTAATTAGTTGTTGCCATGCCACCTGATTTAAAATATTTCACGGTTCAGTTTGAGCGTTCATGTACTTCCACCATCTCTACATTTAAAAGAGCTTTGCAGTTTTATTGCCCCGTAAATAATATGTTCCGCGTTATGGTGAGAGAGCCACATAGATATTAAAATGTTGACATTTCAGCTGAATGATCCCTCATGACGTTTAGACTTTGGCTAACCCTTAGATGCCCTTAGAGTGACTACACTCTTCCATAAGTGGGTCAAAAAGGACCGTATTAGAATAATGTGTTTTTATGTCATTTTGGTTAAGAAAATCACTTGTATAATATTTAGTATTATATTTTGGTTCACGCTAGAAATATTCTATATTTAATTTTTTTAAAAATACATTTTGAAAAAAAACGTTTTCCCATAGGAAATGCATGCGGGTCATTTTTGACCCACTTATGGAAGCTTGGGGTAGTAATACAAAAACTACAATTTCTTAAAATGTCAATTTAAAATTTGAAATGGCGTGATATCCAATATATGTTTTTTGAGGAATAGCTACAAAGATACTTCCAGAAAAAACCTCACCGGGTCAAAAAAGACCCACTTATGCATCTAAGGGTTGATATCATTTAAAGTGTTGTAAACATTCCTGTTGTTACTGAAGGACTGAAGGACTTGTAAAAAAAAAAATGACGCACTACTTTTCACCTGAGCAGGTGCTCTGGTATTTAAAGCTGAATTGTACGTTCTTATATAAGTATATGAAACTCCTGTTACGTTTCATTCACACTACGTTCAGACGTACTGTAACTTCCTCTGGTGCTGTATACTCACTCCTTCTTCTCGGGTGAAACGTGGAACATGAAGGGGGTTTTCACACGCCTCAAACACTACCTGTACATCTGAAAGGATTTCAACTATAACTATATTTTTTGTGTTTATATTTAAAGAACAGTATTCCTCATTCAAGACCCTGATCTTCATCCAGTCGTGTAAATATTTCCGTGATTGTGTCCTGAGAAACTTCTTCTTCTTCTCTTACTCTCTTTGGAAATGGAGGAAAAAGCTGTTTTATATGATTCTATATTGAAAAAAACATATTTTTGGATGTCTTTGTTTCCTGTTATCTGATTCCAACCAGAATGTGCAGTGAGTCGGTGGCCTTATGAATGTGTTGTGAAACATTTGGAAATAAAAGGTTCAGATGTAAAACTGTTGGTTTTCTTCATCCTGCAGACACTCGTGTTTTCTTAAAGTACAATTTTAATTTGTTACTTTTTTGTTGATAAATGTTAGTATGAATCCATTTAAGGCAGGAGTGTCAAACTCAAATACACAGTGGGCCAAGATTAAAAAATGGGTACTAGTCGAGGGCCGGACTGGTTCAATGTTTATTGCAAAACGTATTAATATTAAACCTGGAACTAACAAAGCTTAAACTATTGCCTATAAAAACAACATTAAATAATCAGTTGCATTCATTTCTTATGGCTCTATCTGCAGCTTTTCCAGAGTCATTTCTTATGATTACATTTTCCCACAGGCCAACAACAGCTTCAACAAAACTATTTCCCTCAAAGAAAAAACCAATCATGCCCTGTTGTCTCAAGAAAGAAAGTGCACAAGGAAACATCCATTAAACTCAGTGTGCTGCTCTGTGATGCTAGTTCAAGCAGATACTTGGCATCTCATCTTGGGTGCAAGTTCATCAATGTTTGGGGCTCAGGCTCTGAGCTGAGGAGACCCTCAGGATGGAGTGAAGGTGTGCGTGCAATATACCGACGGGCCAGATCTAATAGTCATTAGAAATTATCCTGCGGGCCGAAATTAAATCCACCAAGGGCCTGATTTGGCCCCCAGGCCTTGAGTTTGACACATATAAGGTGCTATAAGGAGTTTTTTTAATGAATCCATGAGCAGACATCAGAGACAGAAATAAAGAGAGATGCTGTGATATCAAGCATAGTGCTAGTACATTTACTTAAGTATAACTTTGAGATACTTTCGTTGTAGATTCATACAATATTACAACAACAATAAATCATTATGTATTGATCAGAACCTGTTTTTGAATGTACTATGAACGGATAAAATAGCCAGTTTTCTAACACAAAATGAATTTAATCTACCTCATTGGCAAACGAGAGGTTAATAAAAACAGCAGCTGCGTAATCAATAAGAAATATTTACTCAAATACAATTTTTAAGTACTTTTACTGTAGATTCAGATAAATAATGCAACATAAAGTCAACAATATTATCTATAACTATGTAAAAGATAATACAGGTCAGTAAAAATACAAATGTATACATTATACAAACATTAATGCAAAATAACCAAAAATTAAAGAGAAAATTATTTTTTATGGGAATAAAATACTGTTAAACTCTAAAAACGTGGGTATTCTTTATAATGAAATACTATAGAAGTACATGTATCCTTATTCAATTATCAAACCAGTGTCACATACATTGTTATTCATCTTTCTGTGTACCATTATGTTGAATACATGTCTACAATTGTTGTGTATATTAAAGTTTTTAAATAAAGATTGAAGTATTAAAAAAACGGTTTTCTCGATTCGCTGTAGTTTGTCCCTCCGCGCTCCCCGTTCAACAGCAGTTCCTGACAGCAGAGAGCAGAGTACAAACAGGCACGTGCAGATCTGTGAATACAAACAGTTTTTTAATCGTCGTAATGCACAGATTAAAGATCATTTCGGGACACCTGTCTCCCCCCGGATCCTCTGAACACAGGCGGGACTTATGGAGGTCTGATTGCGGGGCTATAGTCACCAAAAGCCCGCAGGATGTGGTGGTTGTTCACGGGCTGAGGACCGCTGTGTGCAAGGCGAAGAGAGGAGCCTTCAAAGTAAATAACTTTAATATGTAAACTACTTCATCTGTAAAGGTCTTAACATCTGATCTGAGGGGAACTTCTTGTTGTGTATGTTTTACTTGTGATTTGTGCCATTTTGAAAAGCACTGCATGTTCTGTAAGAAAAGTGCTATATAAATAAAGCTTTATTTTATGATGTTTCTGCCAAGTGGGCTAAAGTTTAGGGACAGATAATCATGAAGCAGAGAAACTGTTATCTGCAGCATGCAACTGTGTTCCTGTGTGGAAGAAATATTCACAACTGAATTACAAATACTAAGTCCTGCATTCATAACTTTACTTAAGTCACATGTGTAAGTGTTATTAACAAAAAGTAAAGTATTCATTGTGCACTAATATGTTCCCAGTCATTGTTTTATTATTAAATATGAGTTTTTATAAGAATATTACCGCTGCATTAATGTGTATTTTACATTTTACTGGTGTAGATGTTGAAGGTTGAGCTCATTTCAACTCCTTTATGTTTAATCTACGGCATTGCATCATATCGTAAATCCTCTTATGTTTGTATCTTTGTCCTGTCAGAACTGGGTATCTCTAACACTTCAACTTTTCATGAGTTTCTCTGAAAAAACAGCCCTTTTTTCACCATAACATTTCCCCCAAATCTAAACAGAGATCGAGCCCACCTCCTCACAACATGTTGAAATGTCCTTGGGCAAGACCTTAAATGAACGAGCTAAGTCAAATGTAATGATGTTCCAACATAAAGGAGCATTTCATCCTTCAGATTATTACATACATAACAAATCTACACATCTGGGCATGCATGGTTTTCACTGAACAGGGAGAGGATACAAAACACATCTGGACTGAAGCTTTCAGACAAATGTAGTGCAGGGAAAATGTACTATATCCCCTCTGAGATGTGGTGTCAGTCCTCCAGTCACCATTGAATGATATTATAATTATGACATGAGGTAGACTGATATAATGTCTCCTGCAGGACACCACGCCTGACGAGATGCTCAGCGCCGTGATGAAAGCTGTGATGACAGACGTTGGACTCTCCGCCGACAAACTGGGAGACGTCTGTGTCGGTGAGATAAGACTTTACAAATCGTCCTTTGACCGCTGTCCTGTTGAATAGCGGATTTAATCTTAATTGA